AATCGAGTAATATATCCAATATGTTTGCCTACATATAGATTCAGATAACACTTTATTTATAGCCTATGAGACTCAACTATCTTATCTCATACATATTAGTCTTGATATATTATGATGTCTGTATTGTCATAATATTCGACTAAGGATATTTTAGACGTAGCCTCTATCTTTGTAACAGCCTCATAATCAGAACATCCTAGTTCTCATCTGTGTTACTAGAGCGCCAACTCTATGGACTAAAGCTATGTTTAAATCACACGAGACTACTTAAACAATCTTTAGGGCCTATTGTTCTTGACATAATACAGACATGGAATCATAAGTTGGCCTCTAGGACTCACTTATATTCAACATACCAACCAACTACAAGTACATTTTTAAAGAGTGTGTTACAATCGCAACATGTTTTCGTGAAAGTTTGGCTGATCCAGATTTGTACCCTTATGTCTTTCCTATGAAAGATAAATGGTGTGCTTATTATTTGTACATTCCTGATATTTATAAAATAGGTATTATTTGTGATCCAACCTTTAAATGAAAATAGTTATTACTACAAACTTTTAAGAATTTGTTTAAAGAATGTGTTTAAAGAATATCAAGGGTTATACGGTAATGTACTAGAAGAAACAGCACCTCCTCCACCCCCCGAATAAAAAAAAAGGTCTTAAGGAATAGTCGGTGGGCTTCTTGTAAAGAAAGGGAAGCGTGTTTAGCCTTCGACGAGTTCAAGTGGTACAACAGTAACGCACAACGAACTTGCTACGTACCATAGGGTGCCATGCGATTACGACGACGACACCAACGTGGAGTTTTACGTCCTCGGATGGTGGAAGCAGAATGAACACATGTTCCCATGTCTCGGAATGCTAGCAAGACAAGCGTAGTCCGTCCCGGTATCAACCGTAGCAATGGAACAAGAATTCAGTGCTGGCGGCAACATTCTAACCGACTGCCAAAGTTGTCTTAACGCTGAATCTCTTGAAACACTTGTTTGCAACCAAGATTGGCTCTTGGCAAGACGTCGAGCTCAAGAGTCAGGGTACGAATTCAATTTAGAGCATTACATTAATGCAACCACAGATGGAAGTCCGAGTTCTGAGGAATAAGTTATAAACTTTTTTTTATGTTAATGTAGATGTGTAATATTGTAAATATGTAATTAGTTTTTTTAGGTGAGCGATATATAATCTCCTTCAAGGGTTTATTTCCGGTTCTTTACCTCGTCGCTTTTTTTGAACCGTCGGGATATTAAATGCACTTGTTCTTCAGTTCGTGTATTACTCATTTTACAATATTTAAATAAAAACTACTCCCTCCGTCCTATATTGATCTTCCCATATTAACTCAAGCTCATTTTTAAGGAAGGGATAAAATGACTTTGACCTTCCAAAAATGCCCCTCTTTATAACCAATTGAAAAAACTGACCCCCCCTTTCCGGCAATTAGTAGCGGCACTAAAGATTGGAAGGACTACAGCGGCGAGGCAGTTTGCTAGGCGGTGGCCTTCTCACCGTGAAAAAAACTAATCCTATTTATTTGTAAACATTTATTGCAATTCTTCTAAGAAAAAACCTTAATTTTAAGAAAACTTATTCACAATCTCATCGTTGTAGTGAATAAAAAGAATAAAAAAGGTAAGAAAAAGGAACTCACCCTATAAATCGACGAATCGATCTCGAGGAAGCAGCGGTAGAATTAAAGGAAAATCTGGAAAAACAGCGGCAATCAGAAAAACAGATCTGGGTTGATTCTAATTAAAGGCATCGGCGGAGTTTGGCCACCCGACCTCGCTGTAGTTTATCCACGAAAAAAGCTGCGTAGATCTAGGGTTTTGAGGGAGGGATGAAAGGCGGATGTAATAGATCCAAGATGTGTAACAATAATTAGTGGAAACCCTATACACACAATAGATTGAGAGATGGAGAGAGGTAGAATGAGAGAGGGTGTGAGAGTGAAATCGGCCAAGGGAGAAGAAAGGTGGAGAATCCAGAGTCAGAAGACGGAAATGTTAATGGGGGATGGTTGGAGGAAGCAAAGATAACAGGGGTATAATCGACATTTCATAATCTTTTTTTGAAGTGGGAAGATAGTTTTAGGACGAGAAAAAAAGGGAAGTGGGAAGATAGTTTTAGGATGGAGGGAGTACATTTTTAGATTTTTTATTTCATTCTTTCCTTTAACAATTGCAAATTTATAATTTTACACTTTAAAAATTTTTAAAAAAAGCAAAAAAAAATTGGGGGTGGCCGGTCAGGTACCGGAAGCGGTACCGCCCGGTCCGGTCACGGTACCGATACCAAGGGATGGCGGTACCGGAACCGACGGTTCCAGAAACGGAACCGGCCCGGAACCGTACCGTGTCCACCCTTACTACTAGGTTTTAGAATGTGCATTACGTTCTTCGCAAATGAATATTGTACAAATGTGTTAAAATGAGTACTACATTTTTTTAGAATGCGTAACATGATTTTTCAAAGAGTAAATTACAAGAATAGGACCAAAACATGGTGGTTTTCCCAAAATAGGACTAGTCCTATTGCCTCACACGTTTGAGCATTTAAAATGACAAAAAGCCCCTCCAATTTCTAGGCATTATCTCTGGTGGGAAAAACAAAAAAATGCGGCGAAAATTACGGAGAAACCAATAGATCCAAAAGGCAAGAATTCAATCATTTAGATTTCAAACGGCAGAGGTCATTAGAAAGGAAATGATTAGGGTTCTAAATATTTGATTTTTTTTCTGCGTCCTGTGCATACCTGTCCCCAAATTCAGTGTGTGGAGTCATTCAATTTTAATGGCGTCGAGAATGGAAGACGGTGAAGATCGTGAGTTTGTTGAACAGACCCAAATAGTCCAAAAATATGCTAGGGAACCTTTACACTATGTTTGGTTCAAGGAATTTGGAAGGAAAAGAAAAGAAAATGGTTTTCTCTCATTTTACTCACCAAAATGGGAGGAATTTGGTTTTCCCTCCACTTGGTACATTTTACCTTCTCAT